TTCTCCCGCCTGCCTCCCCCCGCCTGCTTCACCCCGGCTTCGCCAGGCTCCCGCCTGCTTCCCTTGCCAGGGCCCCGTCTTCCAGGGTCGCCTGCTCCTGTCACCTCGGGCCGGCTGCCCGTTGCCGCCCGTGCCATCTGCTGTCCACCGCTGCTTCCACTCCCGTGGATCCACTTCTCCTCCAGGATCCCTTCTTCACCGCCTCTCCTGCCTGCCCTTCACCCTGCAAAGAGCCTCTCCTCTCTCTACGGCTCTCCCCTGTGTAAGCTTTAGTCGCCTTTTGTGCAGCGCCTGACTGTGCCTGGAGCAGCTCCCCTTTCACATCTTCACTTCTTTTCTTGTTCCCCCTCTTCCCCTGTGCCCCCCAATCCTCTGTTAACCTCGATAATGAGGATCCCGTTGGAGCACTGAAGAGGAGTAAGAAGAGCTTGCTTGGCGTGCCCGTGTGGGGCTGCTACCTTCTTTCCCGCTCCCCTCCTTTGAGGGGGGCCTAGCCTCCGACCAGCCTCCTGCCCCTCCAGCAATTGCAAGCCAGAGTGGTGGCTGTGGTGTGGCAGGCGGCAGGATGACCGACACCCGGCGGAGGGTGAAGGTTTACACGCTAAATGAGGACCGCCAGTGGGATGATCGAGGCACAGGGCATGTGTCCTCTTGCTACGTGGAGAGGCTGAAGGGCATGTCCCTGCTAGTCAGGGCAGAGAGTGATGGTAAGTGTGTATGTCTGAAGGTACAGTCTTTTCTCATCCTACCCAGAAAAGGAACTGGGCTTAGCTTTGTATCTGTTGCCTTAATGTTTTGCTGTGTAATTCCACTGTGGTTCCTAAAAGCAAACAGGCACTAACCATAGTTCATTCGTGTTAGACTAAGTGAAAGAAATGGAAGATTGCCATCAAGTGCAAGCGTAGTAGGCACTTGGTTCATAGTGAATACACAGTGTTGCGTACAAAATACGTTCAGGTCTTGTTGTAAATCTTGTATGGGTTTGGATATCTAGTAATCTATCACTAGATGCCCAAAGTACTTCAGTTTCAAAACTGATCATTGTGATGTATTCTTCCTTAGATGTTTCTGGAAACAATCCCCTCGTGAAACTTAGATCATGTTTTTTAGTATAAATTTTTAAAAGGTCATTGGATGGCTAACACCCTTTTTTCCCCTCCTTTTTTTTTTTACCCCCCTGTTTTTTTTGGTAGCAAGAATTATGCAAGACGTTCTACAAGCTATCAACAGTTATCAAAGTACAGTTGTTACAGTAGTAAAGAATATAATGGACAGAACAGCATTTTCAGAGATGCTTTTTTTAATGGAATAGTAGTTCTCAGTCCTTCAGCAGTTCTAGATCTTCCTGTACATAAATTTAAAACGATGCATTATCAACTTCCTTTACATTTTTTGACAACATATGACAATAGTATAGGTTGAGTAGTACTGTCTACCCCTGTAACTGTGTTTGGGCTAGTCTTGATTATTGGTTAAGTGAGTTCATGACTGCTATGATCAGAGTAGATTTAAAAATGTATACTTTGCAATATCTAGCATGTACCATTTTGCTAGTAAAGTCTGTCAGTGCGTGACTTACTACTTCATTAGAGATACAGCTACTGTATCTAGGGACTTGTAGATCTAGTTGTAGCTTGTGACTGTCAACAGACCTTGTAATTTTCTTTATTTGGCTTTTTCATTGTAGGATGAAAAGCAACTTGAGGATCATTAATTCTTATTGTTTGGGAAAGTTCTGACAAACTGTACAATAATCTCTACAGCAAAGATCATAAACTGATACGGAGGGATCAAACTTTCATCTAAGCAGGATTTTGATAATTGAGCTTCTGATAAGCATGAATCTCAGGGTTTTGTAGTTTCTTGATTATACTTTAAAAAGTTAAATTGATACTTGATTTTATTTATTTTACACTGAAGAAGATGCATTTATAGTTTGGCTAAACCTCATAGAGTAAGAGAAAACATTCAAAATGGAAATAGACTTAGTTTAATTTCAACATGAGGGAGGTAAAAAGAAGGTTATCACCAAATTTTTAGGCTAATCTTTACAGTATATTTTGTTGTAGATACCGTCCTTTCTGTCTACATGGCTGCTGTGCTCACGTTTAAAGACTGTCATGTCTTCTATACATAGGCAATTTCCTGATTTTTTTTTTTTTTAGTTCTTTTTAGAAAAGAAAGCAAAAGAACTGCAGTTCATAACCTCCTTGTGAAGAAACAGCCCATTCAAACTGAAATCCCTTTATTGACTTTCAGTGGGATATGTATGCTTAAGACTGATTAGAACCTGAATTGGACTTTGTTGCCAGCTTACTTCTTGTAAATGAACATCCGTAAGAAGGAAAATACAAACTGGTATAAATGATCCCAAAACAAAGATGAAGTCATTACTTTGTGTTGCATAGCTAAGATACTCTAATCAAAGCAGAACTGGCTCAAACTTACTAATTACACCTAATACACAGAAGTATATTTAATAAGATACACACATTAGACCTCTCTCAAACAGCATACATGCACTTCAAGAGTATTGAATAATATACAGAGCTTAAGTTCCTAATTTAGTAGGTATCAGTCCTGGGTATATGTGCACTTTATTAATAAGCTAGTTTTTCTAACTTGCTTGTGTAAACACCTCATAAAATTTGATTTATGTTTTGTTTACTCCCAGTGTCAATTGTTTGTTGGCTGATTTTGAAGGCAAATGCAGTCATTTTTACATGTGAGCAAATGGTTTGGAAAAAGGTAACGCCAGACTTGTGTTTGAGGTACTATGCAATTTCTGTGTTCCCTCATGTGCTTTTTTACCTACATGAAGTAGTTGACTGTGATTCCCCCCCCTCAGTTATCAAAAACATACAAGTATTAGGAACCTGACCTATACACCGTTTGCCTCCATGTTTCCATTGCATTCTTGTATTGTCTTTCTTTGTCAGCTCCTCCTCTTTCCAATGAAACTTCTTCCTTCCTCCTTTTCTAAACCAGCTTTTCCTAGCGTTTGAGCCGAGATTCATCCTGTGCACGCTGGCGTGTTCTTACTGACTTACTCCAGGAAGCTGACTGAAAACCTCGCGATCTGCCTGAAGTTGAGGGCTCTGTTTCCTGAGTTGGGGGAAGCCGTGGGGGATGTTAGCAGTAGTTCCTGCTGTGCATGGGAAATTCCCACTCCTGTTAAAGGGCCAGTTCGGCTGTGCACAGAGCAACAGCAGAATTAGCAGAGGTTCATTTGGCTGACCATGTGGGCTAGCACATAGTTCAGCCTTGATTGTGCAGCTGTGACTTGGTGTAGCTCCATAGCTGCTTTACAAGTGGTTGAGATTTTATGGCAGGGTCAGGGTGTTCAGCTAAGGGAGCTACCATCAGTATGCCAGGTCCAAGGTAAGCTATCATTTGGAGTTGGAGCAATAAGAACTGAATAAGTGTGCAATTTTTTTTATCTGTAGGAGTGTTTTTTTTCTTGGGTTGGTGTTTTTTTAACACCATCTTAAAAGAATTTAGAGCAGGTGAGTGATCTGCATTGCTATCTGAGATGTCTAATGCTCCCAGGCATGAATAAGAATCATTGCAGGCAGTTTGGAGTGATCTGTTATAGTACAGAAATATCATAAACTGCTTTCAGATCAGCTATATTATGGTTTGAAACAGGGAACTGTATTTTTTTTTCACATAAACAACTGTTAACTTTTTTTACTTAAAACCCTGGAAAGTTTCTCTGTGTATTGTATTCTTGCAGTGTATTCTACTTGAATTGCAGTAGGGCAATAATGAACTCTTTTCTTACAAATTATTATCTTCCATGTGAGTTTCTGTGTATAATCAGAAGCCTTTGATTTCTTACCTGTTTCTCACATGGTATTTTAGGCTGCTATGGTCTGCCTCATTCTTAAAATGTCTCTGTGCTTCTAGATTTTTGACTGCATGGTTTCAGATCGCTTTTTTGTTCTGAGTCCAGATGACTGAAGTGACCTTTAAAATGAACTTTTCTATTCAAGTAACTTGGGTTAATCTGAAGACTTAAACTTTTAATTAAAACTTACTAGTCCTGTAACTAAACTTTTTGACAAGCCAAAGTGAACTCCCCCATTGGAGGCCATACTTGCCAGCTTTCTTTGAGGAACTATGTAATAATTTTTATTCAGAAATTGTAGTTTGCCACTTCTGAATTCTGTATGTTAATGACTTCTGCCACAAGGTAGGCATCTGCATCCTTGCTGTTTCTTTAGACTAGGTATCAGTAACCCTGTAATACTAGCAGAAGGCTTAGCTAAAATTTGGCTTAAGTTTGCTTCACCTTGCTCAAACTCAAGGGATGAATTTTATTTATTTATTTTTAGGAAAGTAACACAGAAAATTTTGTGGTTATGTACTTACCTTAGGTTAAAATGAAAAAAACCATGGGGGGTGGGGGAAATTTTTTTTTGTTTCTTTTCTCCTGGTTCTCCCCTCTCCTTAATGTTTGGGTTTGACCCTTCAGAAATGTTTTAGACTGAGGAATAGTCTCTTGTGAATGCAGAGCGCATTCTTGGACCTCGGTTTGAGCTGTTTCCTAAGTTTCTGTGGATTGGTTTCTGTGATGCAGTAGCAGCAGAACTGATTGCAGAACTTAAACCTGTGTGCATCTTGCAAAAAACAGCTCTTGCATTGAAACTTTTGTTTAAACATAAACATGTTTATACTGGTGAGGAGTAATGAGTGACACTGTATCTTTTCTCCTTTTGAGGAAGGATCCACATAACAGTTTGATGGGAGAGGAGCAGTATTCCATATAAACGGGTCTCCTCCATATGCATATATGTAAACAAGTCTACAGATTTGGTTTTTAAGACTACTGGATTGGGATATTTGATGTTCTCTAAATATCTTTGAAAATAGTATTGTATATCTGTATGTAATCTCTTTTGAGCAAGACTTTCCCTATACATGCATTGTTTTCACAGCACAGAACAGTGGTGTTATACTAACAAAAAAACCCAGCTGTGCTATATTGCGTTACAGTGGCAAATAACAGAATTCTGCAAATCAGTGTTTTCTTCTTTATAGGTGGTTTCAGATGTTACTTTCTGGCACCAATGTTTTGCAGTTACCTTTACAAATTCATTCAAGACTATAATTTAGAAAATAACTAGATCTGCATAATTTTGGAGGGTTTACTAAAACCATAGCTTGTATTAAGCCGTGTTTTCAGGTCTTACCTAACTTTGAATAGAGTTATTGGGTCAGTGAAGATGAAATTTTGTTGGTGTATTTTTATAAAGTGGACTGGATAGTCTTCACATATTCTAGGATAGTACCAAGAGAAAAATACCTACATAGAAAGTAATTACTTACGACAAATGCAGGAGTAAGCATCTTGAACTGTATTTAGGAATCGATACCGATACGGACTTTGAATGGAGAACAACTTTATTTGCTGTATGTTAGATTTCTGCAACCTTTATCCAAAGAATATATTTGCGTTACAGACATCTGTTACTGTTGCCTGGTTCCCAGAAGCAACTGACAGAGACCTGAGACGGCCTCATACCGGGAAGGGGCCTGATCCTATAAAACTTACTGTGTGAAAATAAACTCACTGAACTAACTAGTAGAATAGTTCTGGTTAGACTGATTTTTGAGTCATTGAACCCTTTTTGGGGAACAAATTGCACAAATGGAGCATCAGATTCTCTAGAAGGATGGATTTGGGGCAGTTACGGATTATAGAGCACAGTTTTCACTTCGGTATGTTTCTATCTCCAAATTCATTTTTTTTCTAGTTATTGTCTGGAATGGTGAAGAATAAGTTGAATCATGTGGTAATGAGAAGCAAGTCAAGCCTTATAAGGCTTAATTTGTCTCCTGCAAGTGTCAGGTTTAGTAGAGAAGAAGAAATGCTCTTTTGTGATAAGTCTAGTAAAGAGATCATTCTCTAGTGTCTGCTTCTGTACTGGAAGATGAAACGTCTGCATTCAATTGTCTTCAAGATTTTTTTTTAATAGTACTTTGTCAAACATGGTGTTCAAGTTATGTATGATATTCTGCTAATTTCAGGATTTCCATGTCTGTAGATCTGTGTTCAGCAGTTAAAATACAATGTTGAAATTATCAACTGCTTTTAATTCTTACCAGATTCTAATACATATTTGCTGCTATTAAATATTTCTAGACAGTAAAGACTTTCTAGAAGTTAGTCAACCAAGTTAATAGCACAAAATAATATTCTAAAACTTCATGTAGTTGAAACTGAGGCTTTGAAACTGAAAGTAAGACTGAAGTGAAATACTGCCTGTAAGTGATGATTGCAATGGAAAAGGGAATGCTGTTTTTAAATGTTCACTAGGCAAACCCAAAATTCAAAGCTCGAGGCTATAGCCTAAGTAGCACAGTGTATTGGATTCATCAGTAAAGCTCATCTTAGATGTTTTCCTTCTCTGTCCTGCTCTATAGTTTATGATTTTTATTTTTTTCTTTAGTTATGCTGTCACACTTAAGCAAATAAGCTGCTTTGTTAACAGGGCTGATGAGGGTTAGAAAACTGGAAAAACTTTTAAAAAAAGAAAGGGTAGTATATCTGGTTTTGGGGAGGAGATTGCTTTTTTGTTATGTCTTGTTTTCCCCTGAGGGCTATTTAGTTCAGTTTTATTGTTGGATTGTATCTTAGTTTGTAAACAGCTCTTGCTGCAACAGCAGTTGAGACACGGCGATAGCTTCTCAAGCCAACTTCATTAGTGAAGGCTGGTTGTTGTAGAACAATAGACTTAGAAATAAGGAAGAAGCAGCCATCACAGGTAAGTTACTTTGTTAATTAAAAAAAAAAGATTAATTAATTGTATCTGGTTATCACATACATAGTAAGCTAATGAATATAAAAATCCTTAGTAAAGCTTCTAAATTCATGAAGTAATAACCTTTCTTACCCCACCTGGAGTACTGTGTCCAGCTCTGGAGTCCTCAGTACAGGAAAGACATGGACCCGTTGGAGCATGTCCAGAGGAGGGCCACAAAAATGATCAGGGGTATGGAACACCTCTCCTGTGAGGAAAGGCTGAGAGGGTTGGGGTTATTCAGCCTGGAGAAGAGAAGGCTCCAGGGAGACCTTATTGCAGCCTTTCAGTACTTAAAGGGGGCTACAAGAAAGATGGGGACAGACTTTTTAGCCGGGCCTGTAGCAATAGGACAAGGGGGAATGGTTTTAAACTAAAAGACAGTAGATTTAGACTAGATAAAAGGAAGAAATTTTTTACAATGGGGGTGGTGAAACACTGGCACAGGTTGCCCAGAGAGGTGGTAGATGCCCAATCCCTGGAAACATTCAAGGTCAGGTTGGACAGGGCTTTGAGTAACCTGATCTAGTTCAAGATGTCCCTGCTCACTGCAGGAGGGTTGGACTAGATGACCTTTAAAGGTCCCTTCCAACCCAAACTATTCTAAGATTCTATGATCTTCTATTAGTCAGTAGCAATTTTTCAGGAAAGGAGTGTGAAGTTTTTCTGTAGATGTAACCTATGAGATTGAGAATAGTGATACCTAGTAAACAAACATTGGTTTGGGATATTTTTTGCTGTGGATTTTATAATTGGTATACTCTTCAGATAGTGAAAACTAGCTAGTCATTGTTGATTCTACTGTGAGATTTGGAAGTACAATTTTCAATTCCAAGTATGTTTTTCAAATCCAAATAGTTTTCTTGTCCTGTCTTCAAGTTCTCAGGCTTCCATATTTGAGGTGGTTGAAGCACTTTAATTTTTCTTTAATGTAGATTTTATAAGGATATTTGGCAAATATGCTAGAACTAAATATGCCTTAGAACTATAGCTATGAAACTGAGAAGTTGAGACTTTTCAAGAAAGTTTGGACTTTTCCTAAAGAATAAATTTAAGCAGGTAAATGAATGGAGAAATGCCTCTTTAAAGGGGTGCTTGCAGCCTTGTGTTTAAATTGCAAGACTGACTATGCAAGTTAATTTATCAGTACTTCTTCATGTATGTTGAGTGAAGCTCTGCAGATATGTAAATTTAAGTCATGGCTGTAAAGAGTCCCTCATGCACTGGCATTTGTGTAGCTGAGCAGCAAGGTGGATGAGGGAAGTGATTGGACCAAAAATAAAAGCAGTTTTAAGGGTTGTTTTCACCTAGATCAACCCTCCAAACCATTTAAATGTGACATGTATTAACACTAGCGCTTATGCAAAGGAAAGACAAGAAAACACGGATATGAGAATGGAATTGCTGTTCTGTGTCTTGAATCAGTATAAGCTGCTATGAAACCATTGTTCCTAAGTTTATCATGTCTGAAGTCACAACAGTTGCTGCTCTAAGTATTGGTTTCTAGATGTGCTTTCCAGCAAACTAATATAAGTGTTTTAGCTAAACTTTAAGAACAAATACTACATTATTAGCAAATTTTGTACAAAACAGCCGTAGGTGATTTATGGAATGCAGTTGTGATGTTTTTTGTGTGCTGATATTTTGCAGACTTTATCATCTCTAAAAAATTTTCCATAGAAAAGTCATTACTTGGAATAAGGAGGTTAAAAACCCAGTCCTTACAACACTCTTGAATGTTCTGTACTATATGAACAATATCTTTGAGGGGAAAAATGAAATATAAAGCTGTAGAATATGGGTTTAACAGGCTTATTGTTGGGAGGAAAGGTGTTAATACCTACTTGAGGAAAG